ACGGGGGGGTATGTATCCCTCCTTCATACCCCAATTTTCTTCCAACAAATTTGAAATAAATTTATGATATTTTTAATATGACTTTGGAAATTTACTTGGAAGTACACGCTTATGCAGACTTTCTTTGTCAAAATTCAGGATTATGATGCTTTATCAACTTTTCGTAAAATATCGACAATTGTGGATTTTATTTATTTTATTTTTATACCCTACACCACAAGGTGGTCAGGGTATTATGTCTTTGTGCATTTGTTTGTAACAGGCAAAAGGAAACGAGATAGACCCATAGTTCCTTTTGATAATCTGCATAGAATCACATTCTGATTTCCGATTTATGCATGTCCGTCCGTCCGTCTGTCCATGTATTTTTGTAAACAAAATACAGTTCGCATTTACTGCCCTATCCAGATGAAATTTTGCACAAATCATTTGTTTGGCCCAAGGACGAACCCTATTGAAATTGGAGATAATCGGTCAAAATTCAGATATAGCTCCCTTATATATCTTCGTCCGATTTGCCTTTTATTGTGCACTAAACGTGTAATATCAGTCCGAATAGAATGGAATTTTGCACATACAACCAGATTAGGCCTGAAAATAAGTATGCCAAAATTGATCGAAATCGGTTCAGATATAGCTATAGCTCCCATATATATTGTTCATCCGATTTGTTATTGTTGTCCTCCGCTGCCGTAATATGCACTCTGTAACAACAATATTTGGGGAAATATATCACAGCTCAGGAATACATTTGCTAAATTTTATCGAGAACGGTTCAGATTTGGATATAGCTCCCATATATAACTTCGTCCGATTTACATTTGATTGTGCACCATACCTCTAATATTTGCCCAAATGGGATGAAATTTGGCACTTACGACCGAATTGAGTCTAGAAGCTAGAATGTCAAATTTGGTGAAGATCGGTTCAGATATAGGTATAGCTCCCATATATATTGTTGATCCGATTTGTTATATTTGTTACCCACAGCCGTAAAATGTACTCCGTAACAACGATGTTCTGGGAAATATAGCAAATAAAGCTCAGAAATATCTTTGCCAAATTTTATCGATATCGGTTCCGATTTGGATATAGCTCCCATATATATTTCTATCCGATTTCAAATTAATCGTGCACTAAATGGGTAATACCAGTCCGAATTTTAAAGATACAAATGCTTCGGCATATTCAGTCCTTTGAACTTTAAATTATATTTATAATCATAGCGTGTATGATTGAATTCTCCCATAAAAACTTTTAATTGTTATGCGGCCCCGCCCGACTTTAAAACTTTCCTTACTGTTTTTTTTTTTTTTTTTTTTTTTTTTGAATACCGACAGAGACTTGAACATCAAATTTTAGGATTCCAGCCCTATTCCTTCACCCAATACCAAATTTAGTACCATTTAATACATTTCGTACAAATATAGGACGCATTTCCAAACCCATCTCGAAATCTCAATTCCAGTTACCATCAGTAATCTAAATATGGAATTTATGAATTTTATCTCCATCCCTTCACCCAATATCAAATTTAGTACTTTTCGTACAATTATAGTACATATTTCCAAAAACCACCTTCATATCTCAATCCCAGATACCAACAGCTACGTCAATACCTAATTTCAGGATTCCAGTTCTATCATTTTACCCCGTACCAAAAATATAGTACAATTTAGTACTTTTCGTACAAATATAGGATACATTTGGAAAACATCGCTAATCTCAAAAAAAGATAAAAACAGAGACCTTACTATAAAATTTGGGGATTCCAGCCTATCCCTTCACCCTATACCAAATTTAGTACCAATGAGTACTTTTTGTACAAATATAGAAATTATTTCCAAACCATCGTCAAATCTCAAACACAGATGCCACGGGGAACCTACATATCAAATTTCAGAATTTAAATCTATCCTTTTACCCTGTACCTAATAGAGTACCATTTCGTACTCCTCGTACAATTATAGTACACATTTCCGAAACCACTTTCGTATGACCAGGCTGCACACAAACAGCGACCCTACATCAAAATTTGAGATTTCAAGCACCATCTGTTCACCCAATACCAAATTGTACCAAATATAGTACTATTTAGTTCATTTCGCGTACTTGGAGTACACATTTCCAAAACCACCCCTTTATCACAAAACCTACCACCAACAGAGACCTCAATATCAAGTTTTAGGATTCCAGCCCTTTTCCTTCACCAAATACCAAATTTAGTACTATTTGGTACTTTTCGTACTTTTCCCAAAACCACCCCCATATCTCGATCCCAGAGACTTCAATACCATATTTCGGGATTCCAGCTCTATCCTTACACCCAATACCAAATTAAGTACAACTTTATACTTTTGGTACACTATAATACGTCCTATATTTCATAACCACCCCAAAATCTCAGCCACAGATACCATCAGTAAACTAAATATCAAATCTCTGAATATTATTTCCATCCCTTCACCAAATATCGTACCATTCATTCAGTAATTTTCGTACAATTATAGTACACATTTCCAAAACCACCTCCATTTGTCCACGCTACACATGAACAGTGACCCTAAAACCAAATTTCAAATTTCAGGTACTATCTGTTTACCCAATACTTAAATGTACCAAATATAGTACTATTTAGTACCTGTGTGTACACATTTTTCAAAACTACCTCTTTATCACAAATCCACCACAAACAGGGATACCAATACCAACATTTCAAAATGCCAGTTTCATCCGTTCAACCTAAAAGAAACTGTTCCAAATTTAGTACCATTTAGTACAGTTCGCACACTTAGTACACATTTCCACAACCCTCTTCAAATATCAATCTTACTTTCCACCAACCTTGATTCTCATACCAAATTTCAAGTTTTTAGCTCTATCCGTTCACATAATACCAAAAGGTAGAATTTTAGAAGTTTAGTACCATTTTAGAACTTTTCGTAACCTTAAAGTTCGAATTTTCAAGAAACCCTTTTGCACATCTATCCTGCACTCCATCAGTGATTCTCTGTCCAAATTTTAGAATTGTAACTCATGCCAGTTGTCAATATAATGTATTCAATTTTAGGTACATTTCAGTACTTTGCATACCCATTTAGTACGAATCTGCAAAAAACCGAGCATTATCACACGCCTACGTACCAAGACTGATCCTCTTGCAAAATCTCAAGACGGCTGAAGCTAGACGTTTCGAATGGGCGTTGGTTCTTCATCAATCAGTTATTTCACCACCCTCTAAAGTCAAGAATGCCAAGAATGTTAAAATTTGCCGATTTTCCCTTTATGGTATCGAAAAAAATTGCAAAACTAATAGAAGCCTGCAGGATCTGAAACAGGGCTAAATATTAAAAAAAATAAATAAAAATACAACAATTTTATGACAACTTTTTTTAAATATCCGCGATAAAAATCAAAAAACCTGTAAAGAAAGCCTTAAAGTCGGGCGGGGCCGACTTTATGATACCCTACACCACTTTGCTAATTTAGTAGAGCTCCGCAGAACAATGAAAAGTTTTTATGGGAGAATTCAATCATACACGCTATGATTATAGCTATAATTTAAAGTTCAAAAGACTAAATATGCGGAAGCATTTGTATCTTTTAAATTCGGACTTGTATTGGTTCACAATTAATTTGAAATCGGATAAAGATATATATGGGAGCTATTACATATATATATATATATATATATATATATATATATATATATATATATATATATATATATATATATATATATATATATATATATATATATATATATATATATATATATATATATATATATGGGATATTTCTGAGCTGTATTTGATATTTTTCTCTGAATATCGTTGTTACGGAGTGCATATTACGGCTGTGGGTAACAAATATAACAAATCGGATATATGGGAGCTATAGCTATATCTGAACCGATCTTCACCAAATTTGACATACTAGCTTCTAGACTAAATTCGGTCGCATGTGCCAAATTCCATCCCATTTGGACAAATATTAGACGTTTGGTGCACAATAAAAGGTAAATCGGACGAAGTTATATATGGGAGCTATATCCAAATCTGAACCGATCTCGATAAAATTTAGCAAATGTATTTCTGAGCTATATTTGATATATTTCCCCAAAAATTTGTGGTTACAGAGTGCATATTACGGCTGCAGAGGACAAAAATAACAAATCGGATGAACAAAATATATGGGGGCTATAGCTATATCTGAACCGATTCCGATCAAATTTGGCACAATTATTTTCAGGCCTAATTTGGTTGTATGTGCAACCATATTCCATACTATTCGGGCTGATATTACACGTTTGGTGCACAATAAAAGGCAAATCGGACGAGGATATATATGGGAGCTATACCTAAATTTTGACCGATTATCTCCAATTTCAATAGGGTTCGTCCTTGGGCTAAACAAATGATTTATGCAAAATTTCATCTGGATAGGGCAATAAATGCGAACTGTACTTTGTTTACAAAAATACATGGACAGACGGACAGGCGGACGGACAGACGGGCGGACAGACGGACTTAGAATGTGATTCTATGCAGATCATCAAAAGGAACTATGGGTCTATCTCGTTTCCTTTTGCCTGTTAAAAGGCACAAAGACATAATACCCTGACCACTTGTGGTGTGGGGTATAAAGAATATTCCTCAATTTTTTTTAAGGAAATGTTTTAAACAAATTCTCCAAAAATCGCTTTTACATAACTCAGGAGCGATTACGATATAAAGCTCGGCAGAGTTTCGGAAATATTCTTCAGAAGTTCAGAGTTATGGAGCCAATGTTGTAGACCTTCTATCCAAATCCAAATCTTTTTATAAAAACCACTAGAAGGCATGAAAATATGAACCCTCCTTCAACATGTACGCACAACGTGTGTCCAGTGGCAAAAAACAACTATTATAGGGTTTATAACTCAAAACAACAACCCCATGTTTTTTCCAGTAACCTTGACAACATTTATGTTGTTTATTTATAAACAAAGTATCTCCCAATCAAACATTTTCAAATCCAAACAGTTTTGAAACATGGATTTCACCTACAACGAATTTCCAATATCTGTGGATCTGAACACCCTGAAAACCTATTTCGATTTGAGGCAATGCAAGTTACCCAAATCACTGGCAAAATCCTTCCCCCTCACCACCGACGAAGGGGGTGAAGGTGTTGCCGAAGTCTATCAACCCAAAAGCCTAAGGCATTTGGTCTTGGATTTCTTCCTGGAGAATTGGTGTGGTATGTGGAGCTCTATTCGACTACAACTTGACAATAAGACAAACGTCATTGAATATTTATCTGTTATTTATGTATGGACATATTTCGAAATCCTTGTTTCATTTCCGGCCACCACACACCAGACACTCCCATCTTCAAGGAGCTGGCCGAGCAAAAGGATCGCAACTACATTCTCGGCAACTTGGATGTAAATCTACCGTTAGAGCTTTTAAGCGCGCACATTCGTGATGATTTCTTTTGGCGCAAGAGCTATCAACAGCGTTGGAAGACGTTGTACTACAGGACACACAGCTATCCTTGTTGCCCTCCGCGGCCGGCCACACCACCCACCCTCAGCAAGCCATGTCCTGCAGCGCAGCAAAAGGGTAAACAAGTGACAAAATCATGGCTTAACATTTACATGGAACGACATTTGCAGGAGTTTATTGAAAATCTCCCAACGTCGGAATACGAACAGGAAGGTGTGCAGACACAGGTCCTGGACATTTGTGCGTCGTATATAAATCAATTGGAGATAAACTACTTACAGCCCAGCATGGATGGGAATAATGGTGGGTGGAGGGTTTCTTGTTTCAGTTTGACATCTGTCTTTTGTTTAAATCCTTATGTTGTTGTTGTTATTCTTATTGTTTTTGTTGTTTTCAGATCACATTCCACTCGATTTCATTTTGAGTAATCTACCGGAATTGCGTACATTACGCCTGACATATTGTACAAAAACAATTGGAACCCAATTCTATTTGGGCTGCAACACCATGTCCCGCAAGGATGCCAACATCTTGGCCAAGGGCCTGGCCCAGTGCCATGAGTTGGTGAATTTTTGGTAAGGAAATATTAGAATTCAATGGGATTCCAATAGCAAAACCCTTGGACTTCGGCAAAAAACGGCAATATATGAGTCATCCTTAATCGAGAGAACCAAGCCATTTTTAGGTATTTTTCGGAGCTTCCAAAATCGAGGATTTTTTGGGGAATTTTTATAATTCTGACCTCAGGATTTGTGAATTTTAAAGGACATTTTCTGAAACTATGCTAAAGCATTTCTTGGACTACCAATCGGAGATTTTTAAGATATTTAAGAATGTTTATGACCTTCGAATCATGGAGCGTTTTTAAAACATGGATACAATTTTCGGGAGCTATTCCAAGGTTTGAATTTGTGAATTCTGAAGATAATTTAAATGGTTTTCTATATCTATGGCCTTGCGAAATGTTGACCTCAAGAGTATTTAATTTTGGAGTGTTTTTCTTAAGCTAGCCATGGAATCTTTGAGGATTATTTTGGAGCTCTACCAAGTTCCCTAATTGGGATTTTTTTTAAAGAATTTATGTGGATAACTGAGCTCTCCAATTGTTTAAATATTCTGAGTTTCACAATCGCCGTTTTTGTATGGTTCTGGTTCTTTGTTGTTTTAAGAATTCATCCATAAACACTTTAAAGGACTCTCTTCAGTTTCCAATACGTGATTTTTTCACGTTTCTCCACTGCTCCGTAGTCGAGGGTTTTTATAGATGATCTCCGCAGTTCTCTTCATCTCCAATGCTTCGTAGACTTAAATTTGTACAAAATTTCCGAGGCTTCACATACGAGGATTTTTTTTTAAGATTTTCACAGCTGCGTAGTTGTGGATTTGTTTTTATAAATTCTCATATCTCTCCACAGCTTCACAGACATAGATTTTTTAATTTTTTTTACATCTCTCCAAAGATCTGTTGGCATGGATTTTCTCTGAATTTCACGAAGTTGTGAATTTTGGATTTTCTTTTCAAATCTCTTCACAGCTCCTTACTCATGAATACTTTAAGAAGATTTCTAGAACTCCATGAACGTGGATATTTTATAATTTGTATTTCAAATCTCTCCACAGCTCCATAGATGTGTATTTGTAAGAAGATTCCATGAACTCGACAGATGTGGATTTTTAAATTTTGTTGCCACCTCTCCACAGATCCGTAGACGTGGATTTTCAGAAATTTTCACAGCTCCGAGGACGTGAATTTTTTATTTTTTGTTTTTTTTTTTCAAATCTCTTCACAGCTTAAAAATGGTAAAAAGGTTTCTACAGCTCTGTAAATGTGGATTTTTTAAGAATCTCTCCACAGTTTCATAGACGTGGATTTTGTGACGATTTTTTCAAAACTCTCCAGATATCTTTAGACGTGGATTTTCAATAAATCTTTTCACAACTCCGTAGACTTGGATTTTCTGAGATTTTTTCAAATCTCTCCACAGATCTGTAAACGTGGATTTTCTATGATTTTTTTCACAGCTCCGTAGACTTGGACTTTTAAAGGGAATTTTCACATCCCTCCACAGTTTCGTACAGTTTCAAATCTCCCCACAGATCTCTAGATACAGTTTTTTTAAGAAAATTTTCAAATCCCTCTACAGTTTTGTCGACGTGGATTTATTGAGGATTGTTCTTAAATATCCCCACATGATTTTTTAAGAAATCTTTCACAGCCCTCCACAGTTTCGTAGACGTAGATTTTATTGAGATTTTATTTCAAATCCCTCCACAACTCTTTGGAAATGATTTTATTATGTTCTTTTTTCACATTTCTCCACAGCTTCATGGAAATGGATTTTTTCAAATCTCTCCACACCTCCCTAAACCTATATTAGTAAGAAGGTCACCACAGCTCATTAGACGTGGATTTAAAAAAAAATTAAAATCCGCAGCACCGTAGATTTAAGATTTTTTTTTTCAGAAATCTCCGCTGTTCCGAAGACTTGAATTTTCTCCAAAATTCCGTGGATGTGGGATTATCAACAATATTTAAAAAGATTTCTACAGCTCTAGGGAACTTTCGAAAACTATGCGATGCTTAAAAGACGTGGAATTTTTCTTAGCTTCATAATTGTGAATTTTCGAAGAAGATTTCGAATATTTTACTGAAATCCAATATCGGCGATTTTGAAAATATTTCGAGGAATTTAAATGAATATTTCAAGGATTATAGCGAGGTATATTTTGAGAATATTTCGAAAAATTTTGATGAATGTTTCTAAGACTATGGGAAGCTTCAAGGTTATGGTTTTTGGAGGCCTTTGCTGGACTTCAAAATCGTGGATATTTAAAGAATATTTCGTAGGTTATGGCTAGCTTTAAAACTGTAATTTCTGAGGAATATTTCAAGGATTATGGTAAACGCACTAATTGTGAAGTTTTGAAGAATATTTTGAAGGCTATACTGAGCTTCATAAACGTGGGTTTTTAAGGATATATTGAAGGCTATGGTGAGTTAAAAAATCATGGATTTTGGACGAATATTTGGAGGGCTACGGCGAACTTTAAAATTGAAATTTTTTCGATGGCTATGCTGAGCTTCAATATCAAGGATTTGAAAGAAAAAAGCGAGAGCTATGGCGAGAGTTCGCATATTGTGAATTTAAAGAATATTTGGATCTGGCGAGGTTCAAATTGCGATTTTTGAAAAATATTTCGAGGGCTATGCTAAGCATGGAAATAGTGGATTTCGGGGATCATTTTTAGGGATAGGACGTGGATCGGAATTGGGATTTCTAGAGAGTATTGTTGAGCTTTAAAATCGTGGAGATTTTGAGGGCTATAGGATACCTCAATTTTTTGAGGAATATGCTGTTTTAAGAATATTTCCAAGGTAAAAGCGAACATACTAATTTTGATTTTTTTTCTAGGGCTATTGTGAGCTTCAAATTGTTGATTTTTCGAAGAATACTGCGAGGTCTATATTGACTTTCCAAAATTGGGGTTTTTAAAGAATATGTCGAGAACTAAAAACGTGGATTTTTTTGAAGAATATTGACGACGATTTTTGAATAAAAATCGTGGATTTTCTAAAAATATATATCTAAACGTTAATTTTTTTAGTATTAAAGTGGAGCTGTTTGAGATCTCTAATGGTGAATTTTATAGATCCAACTGTAGATTCTTTTTTTTTTTTGAAGTCTTGTTCAGTTTTGGTGAGTTTCTAAACTTGTTTTTCCCTCGTAGTGGACTTTTTCCGAATACTTTGGAATTATGTTGAGCTTGTGGATTTTCATATATTGTCCATGCTACCTTCTCATATAATCGATTTTTCCGAATTTTTTCCTTGGAGATATGTTGAATTCAATTCGTGGGGTTTCAGAAAGCCTTCTATGGTGAGCTCCATTACTGAGATCCCTATTACTTAATTTCTTCCCTATGTTGTATAATTTCCTATATTTTTTCTGGATTAATAATATTCTCTTCAAACCTTTGCCAAATCTTCCCTTTGCTAGTTTCCACAACACCACCTTGGAGCCGTATCAACTGGGCTTATTTGCCCACAGTTTAGATAAGGGTTGTCATCATCTCACCGCCTTGTCATTAGAACACTGTAGTCTGGGTGATGAGGGAATACGTCAGTTCTTGAGCGCCTGCAACAAGGAATCCTTTGGCACCTTGAAATATTTAGATTTGACAAATAATAAAATCAGTGAGTATTCATTTCGATCATCATTAGAATAAGAAGAAAATTGGTTTTTTACAGCCTCCGAAGGTGCCTACATCATAGCGCGAGTAATAAAAAATCTCCACCTGGAGAAAATAAGTTTACGCCTAAATCCAATTGGCAGTGATGGTGCGGCGGCCATATTTGGTATTCTCGATTGTCTGCCAATGCGGAATGTTGACATCTCAGGGTGTTCCATAACCGATACAATAACTCTGTTGTTTGTGAATTTCTTGGGTCATAATCGCACCTTGTGGTACATTGATATGAGCAATAATGAGTTGGGAATGGTAAGATGGTCCAGATTTGAGATATAAAATTGAAAAATATATTTCAAATTGGGTTCTTTAATTCAGCACTTTGGTGAGCAGCTGTTGAAAGTCATTGGGCGAAATAAGTGTTTGAAACAATTGGACTTACGGAATACGGGTTTAACATTGGAGATGTGTAATAAGGTGAAGGATATTTTAAAGGAAAACTTTAAAAATTGGGATTAATAAATAAGAACACTAAAAATAAAAGAAACGTGTGCCCTCATTTTGAAAGCCTACATCACAAAATAATCTTTTTTGTCTTTGTGCATTTGTTCGTAACATGGAGAAGGAAGCGAGATAGATCCATAGTTAGTTTTGAGAATCTTCATAAAATCGCTTTCTGAGTCGATTTATACATGTCAGTCCGTCTGTCCGGCAGCCTGTCCATGAATTTTTGAGAACAAAATGCAGGTCGCATTTATTATCCGATTGAGATGAAATTTTCCAAACAATATTTGTTTGGCTCAAGGACGAACCCTATTGAAATTGGCGAAAATCGGTTAAAGTTTAGATAAAGCTCTCATATATATCCCCAAGTGATATAATTGTTCACCAAATGTCCAAAATCCGTCCAAATGGCACATTCGACTGAATTCAGTTTAGAAGCAAGTACATCAAATTTAGAGAAAATCGGTTCAGATATAGCAATAGCTCCCATATATACGTTTCCCATTTGGGGTTTTAAGTCCCTCACATATGCAATATGCACTCCACAAGAACGAATTGGCACCGGACATCAGATGCAGCTCTAGAATACCTCTAATAAGTTTTACCGAGATCAGTTCAGATTTGTATATACCGTCGATATACATCTTCATCCGATATTGAGGTTATTGTTTGTCATACGGCTTAGATGAAAAAACTGCAACCAACTACAAACTGCTATCATTTCTAAGCCACTCGTCCGACAGCTGTTAAAATTATTCCAGTGACAGCTCATTATATTGTTTACAAGCGTACAAAAGCATTTTGGTGAGAATTTTCCCGAAAAAAAGTTATTCGTGATGGAATTCAAGCGGTACAGTGTGATTTCTTTATATTTGGCTGGAAAACCACAAGTAGCTGTCGTTAGAGCAGTCCAGCATTTAAATGTGAATAAATCTTTTGTGTCTCGTGCCATCGCTCGTTACCGTGTTACTGGTAGCGTAGCCCGACGTCAAGGACGGAAGTGGAAGTGGACGGAAGAAAACAGCCACATAAGCAGAAATGGTTCGAAAAGTAAAGAAGCGACTTGATCGAGACCCGCGTCCCAGTGGCCGAAAAATGGTTCGTGAGCTGAACATATCACAATATTCCATTAGGCATATTTTGAAAAATGATGGGGGTAAAACCAAAAGCAATTGAAATTCCAAAAAGTGCAAGAATTTACACCGCAATGGAAAGAAATAGACTCAAAAGAGCTAAAGAGTTGCTTCGCTTGGCCGAAAATAGTGAACTTCTGAATTTGGTTTTCTCCGATGAGAAAACATTCGTTGTCCAGCAGTTTGTAAACAAACAAAATGATCGTCTTTACTTGCCAAAGAGGTCTGAAGAGAGCTGAAAATGTGCACCTTCGGTTGGCCACCAGAACTCAAGTGCCGGCCATTGTGATGGTGTGGGCCGCCATAACAGCTGATGGTCGCTCTCCGCTCGTATTAATCGACCGTGGCATCAGAATAAATGCTGAATATTATCTCGAAAATATTCTGGAGGGTGTATTAAAGCCTTGGGCACGCAAACATTTTGGCCGTAGACCTTGGACATTCCAACAGGACTCTGCACGCGCCACCCAAGAATGGTTATAGAATGAGGTTCCTCGCTTCATTTCCAGCGCACAATGGCCACCAAAATCTCCGGATACCAATTCGTTGGACTATTGTGTCTGGAGTATTTTGGAAAGCAATGTTGGCACTAAAAAATACCAAAATGTCTATAACCTCAAGCAAGCGCTTCGCCGGGAGTGGACCAAAATACCGCATAGCAACATTTGGGCAGCATGTGGCGGTTTCATTTGCCGTTTGAAGGCCATAATTCGTTCCAATGGTGACCAATTCGTCAAATCTAAACTTATTCTAAAATTTGATGCTATTTCCGACTTCTTTGCTTTTATTCAATAAAATTTAAAAAAAATGTAAAAATTATGGCATTTGACTTTGTTGCAGGTTTTTCTTATCACCCTGTGTGTTTTATCCGATTTGGAGTTTTAAGTCCCTCCTATGCGTAATATGCTCTCCTCAATAAGAATATTTGATATCGGACATCAGATACAGCTCAAGGACACCTCTGATAAGATTTACCAAAATCGGTTCAGATTTGTATGTACCTTCAATATACATCTTCATCCGATTTTGCGGTTATTGTCCACCAAATATGTAATATTAGCTCAAATTGGATCGATTTTTTTTCATATCCAACCAATTTTTTCCATTTGGTAAAACTCGGTCCGGCACATCTATTATTCCAATAAATAGTTTTTAATATAATCCTTATCGAAGTCATAGAGTTGCAAAAGCCTCCGTCAAATTTATTGAAAATCGGTTCAAAGTTGGATATAGTTCCCAAATGATACGTGTCCAAGTAAGGGTCATAGTTGGTATGGTCTACCCAAAATAAATTCCCAAAATTTTTTTTTGGTTGCAGGAGCTCTACTCCTAGTGATGTAGGGTACCATTTAGTTGGTTCGCCCGACTTTTGACCTTTCATTACTAGTTTTTTTATTTTATTTTATTTATTTATTAATTTATTTATTTATTTTTTGTAAAAGATTAGCTCGTTTTAATTTTTTTTAAGAATTTTTTCTTCAGTAATTCTTAGCTCCCTCCCAAATTAAGGATATTTTGTACAATATTTCTGAAGTTACTCTCATACAGAATTGTTAAGATTTTCTTGTCATTTTTTCTTTAAATGTAAATTTTGAGAGGTTGTAGATTTTTTTTGAGAATTGTTGATTTTTTAAAATATTTGCCTTGCAGAGTTCGATATATTATTAATTTTGTAAAAATTTTACCATGACTCCCTAATTGGGGATTATTTAAAAAAATTTCTAGAGCTACGCTGAGATCTCAAATTATTGACTTTTTAACATTTCTGATATTCGAAATTCTTCAGAACATTTTCTAAATGCCTTCTTTTCTCATTAAAAAATCCCAAGCATTTCTTTTGGCAAATATGTCAATGACATTTTAACAATTAACCGAAATGTTACTCATCAAAATCCAGCAAAAAACAACAGCCTAAAATAATATCCAAAAACTTTAAAATCCCCACGGCCCTTCACATTATCTTTTGCTCTATGCCTTCTGCTTTGGTGAAACAAACTGGCAGCGTAACGAAACCAAAGAATCAAATACAAATGTTGAAAAAATATTAGCTTAAGTATCCTTTATAATGGCATAACCCATCCCTCTTCTCCTACAAAGTTTCAGTAAAACCTCAAGGCAATCCCAAAGGAATTTTGGCGCCTTGAGAAAAAGTTACGCTAAAAAGCAAAGCACCATCATCACCAGAGCAACCTGCTGTCTAAGCATTTTTTTTAAGTGTTGCAAAGTTTCTTTTTTTCGAGTGCTTTTACGGTTGTTTTTGTTGGCAAAACACTTTTACTCTTTTGATTTCACTTTTTTTTGTTGTTCTAATGTCCTTCGACATCGAGGGGAGAGGACAGTGGTGGCAAGTGAAAAAATTCAAGTTCAAATTACAAAAAGATCTTAAATGGGATAGTAGACCTCTAACTCCCTCCCTTAACTCATGTACACATTTCCAATTATAGTACACATTTCCGAAACCACTTTTATAGGTTAGGCTGTCCATGAACAGAGACCCTTATACCAATTTTCAGTTTTCAAGCACTATCTGTTCACACAATATCAAATTGAACAGAATGCAGTACTATTTAGCACTTTTCATGCACTTGTCGAACACATTTCCAAAACCACTTTTTTATCACAAACCTTCCACCAACAGAGACCCCAATATAAATTTTTTCCAACCCTATTCCTCAACCCAATACCAAATTTAGTTCTATTTTGTACTTTTCGTATATATCCAAACACAACTCCATGTCTCAATCCCATATACCAATAGAGACCCAAATATCAAATTTCCGGATTCCACCTCTATCCCTTCAACTTATACCAAATTTAGTACCACATAGTACTTTTCGAACAATATTAGTACACATTTTGAAAACACCATTTTATGCACCAACAGTGACATCTATATCAAAATTCTGGATTTCAACTCTTTTCCTTCACCCATACCGAACTTTAATACTATTTTGTACTTTTCGTACAATTATAGTACACATTTCCAAAATCATATCAATATATCCAAGCTAGACATAAACAGCGACCCCAATACCAAATTTCAGATTTCAAGCGCTATCTGTTCACCCAATGCCAAATTGTACCACAAACCTACCACCAACAGAGACCTCAATATTAATTTTCGGGATTTCAGCCATATCCAATACCAAATTTAGTACTATTTTGTATTTTTCATACAATTATAGTACACATTTCCGAGACCACTTCCACATCTCATTTCCACATACCAACAGAGACTTCAATATTAAATTGGCCAATTCCAGCCCTTTCCGTTCACCTAATGCCAAATTTAGTACCATTTAGTACTTTTCGTACAAATAAAGGACACATTTCCAAACCACCGCCAAATTGCAAACACAGTGACCTTCAGTAATCGACATATCAAATTTCAGAATTTTATCTCTATCCCTTCACCCAATTTCAAATATGGTACTATTAAGTACTTTTCGTACACTTGTAGTACGCATTTCCAAAACCCCCTCTTTATCACAAACCTACCACCAACAGAAACCTCAATATCAAATTTCGAGATTCCACATCTATCCCTTCACCCAACACCAAATTTAGTACTATTTTGTACTTTTAGTACAATTATGGTACACATTTGCAAAATCACCTAAACATCTTATTTCCAGATACCAACAGAGACCTCAATATCAAATTTCTGGATTGCAGCCCTTTGCCTTCATCCAATACCAAATTTAGTACAATTTGGTACTTTTCGCACAAATACAGGACATATTTCCTAAACACCGCCAAATCTTAAACACAGATACCATCAGCAATATATATATATCAAATTTCAGAATGCTACCTCTTTACCTTCACCCAATACCGAAAAAAGTACCATTCCGTACCTTTTGTAGAAATACAGTACACATTTCCGAAACCACCTCTTTATGTCCAGGCTACACATAAAAAA